CACTGTTATTGTTAATGTTATCATAATTACTACCATATCAGAGTTATTATTAATGTTATCATAATTATTACCATTATCACTGTTATTATTAATGTTATCATAATTATTATCATTATCATTGTTATCAGAAGTAGTAGTATTGGTAGCAGTATCATTATAATTGTTTTTGTTTTTATACTCATATTATCACTAGTATTACTAGTATTATAAATATCATTATCATCATTACTTTTATAACTATTTAAATTATGATTATTTTTACAATTACTATTATCATTATTACCATCATTAACGTCATTATTACTATTATCATTACAATTATCACTATCATTATCGTTGTCGTTATCATTATTATCATCATCATCCTTATCGTTGTTGATATCAATACCTATATTATAATTATTATAATCATTATTACTATCATTACCGTTATTATTATCATTATCAATATCAGTATCATTATTACGATCAAAATTATCATGATTATCAATATTACCGTTATCATTATCACCATCATCATTAAACAACTATTCCCACTATCATAAATAATGATGATGATTTTCAGTTCAGTGCTTGCATTTTGTTCGCTATTTTTTATCTATCTATCTTTCATTTATCTTTTTTTATCTCATAAAAAGCGTTACTTTTTATTGAGAAAATTACCTTCTTGGAATTACGTAGGCTCGTTATCCCAGTGACCCCCCCCCCCTCCGTGCCCCACCCACCACCCCCTTCAATCCAGCCGGTCACGTGACTTTCCACAGGGATGGAGGCGGGAAAATGACACACGCCCAGTCCCCGATGCGGTTTCCTGGAATCTGCTTCCTACTTTTTCAGGGGGGAAATTGGGGAAGAGATATGAGGGGGAGGGGGGAGGAAAGGAAATGAGAGTGAGAAGGGGTGGGTGGAAAAATAGGGGAGCGAGGAAGGGAGAGAGTGGGAGGGAGGGAGGGTGGGTGTGTTGCTTGAAAATTGAGAGAGGAAGGGGAGGAGGGAGGAGAGAGAGAGGGGGGGAAGGGAGAGAGGGAGTGGTGAGTGGGAGGGAATGGTGGGAGAGAGGGAGGGTGAGTGAGCGGTGGGTGGGAAAAAAAGAGAGGGGAGGGGGAGAAGGGAGGGAGGAGAGAGAGGGACGGAGGGGTGGTGGAGACGAGGAGGAAACAAAAAACACAAAAAGGAAAGGGAAGAGGGAAAAGAGAGAGGGAAAGGAAAATGGAAAGGGAGCGGAGAGAAGGGAAAATGACGAGCGAGAAAGAAGGGAGGTACGGAGAGAGAGAGAGAGAGAAGAGAAGAGAGAGAGAGAGAGAGAGAGAGAGAGAGAGAGAGAGAGAAGAGAGAGAGAGAGAGAGAGAGAGAGAGAGAGAGAAGAGAGACAGAGAGAAAGAGACAGGCAGACAGAGACAGAGACAGACAGAGAGAAAAAGAGACAGAGAAAGAGACAGAGAGTGGAGACAGAGCCTGACAGACAGAGTAACGAGTAGCAGAAAGCAGAAAAAGCAAGAAAAGAGACAACCTGACAGATTGACAACCTACGCACCCCCCTCCCCCTCTATTTAACAATAACAGATATAGGTGACGAGAGTAAGGGAGGGGGAGGGGGTGGGGGGGAGGGGAGGTCAATGAGATCGCTAACAAGAAGGGGTGAGGTGGGTGGTAAGGTGGGGGGGGGGTGTTTGTTCAGTCAACATTCCCATCTCACCTAATAACGTAATTCAAAGGAGGGGAGGGAAGGGGAGGGAAGGGGAAGGGTAGCAATAAAGGTGAGACAAGAGAGATGGGCGAGAGGGTGGGGGAGTCATGCATCTGATGGACTGGGGGGAGGGAGGAAGGAGGGAAGAAGGGAGGTGGGGAGGGGGAGGAGAGAGAGAGAGAGAGAGAGAGAGAGAGAGAGAGAGAGAGAGAGAGAGAGAGAGAGAGAGAGAGAGAGAGAGAGAGAGAGAGAGAGAGAGAGAGAGAGAGAGAGTGGGACATCCAGACAGACAAACAGAGACAGACAAAAACAGAAACAGAGACAGAGAAATAAAGACAGACAAAAAGAAACAACCAACCAAACAACCAGACAAACAGGCAAAGAGAAACAAACACAAGAAAAAAACAAAAATCAAAACCCAGCACAGGGTGGGGGGGGGGGGAAGGTGAAGGAGAGGGGAAACTAACCTAAATGGGCTCATAAAGATAAGCGCTTGTTGTCCCGTTAAGAGGACAAGCGCCGTAATTACCGGACAGTTTAGTCACGATAAACGGATGGCAGGTGACAGGTGATGTACAGGTAAGAAATATGAGGCCTGAGGACCAATGAGATGAATTATGAGAGAGTGTGATAGACCTACGGGGTGAATAGGCCTACTGAAGGAATTCGGTGAGCCTTGAAGTTAGTTATCGGTCTCTCCAGGAATGACCTTTCTCGGCCTGACCTAAACAGCGTGTGACCTTAACGACCCAGGTGAGTGTAACATGCGGCGGAAATGGGAAAAGAAGTGACAGGAAGAGAGGAAATGCGTAAATAAAAAGAGAAAAAAATGTAAATGGAAGTGGAGGACAGTAGGAAAGAGAGGAAATGCAAGAATAAAGGGCGAATCAGAATAGAGATTGACTAAATGGGAAAACAGGATGAAAATGGAAGGGGAAAAGACAAATAAACGAACGAAATGCATGGATAGAGAATCCAAATAAAAAAATAACAAAAAATAAGATATATATTAAGGGATGAATATGTACTGAATAACTCTACGGACATAAAACGACGAATACAGAACGCAATACTTTATCAAGTTTACACTGTCATATCTCATCCTCATCCAGGATTTTATCTCATGCCTAAATGTCACAACACATGACAAAATATATAACGAAAATATTAAACACTTTATCCGATCTTTTGGGACAGAAGATAGAATAATAAGATAGAATAATTATGATTTTCTTTCCTGTTCTGATCCCGGCTGTCTGTGTAAATCAAAATCAAGATACTGGTGAGGATTGGGGGGGGGGGGTCACACCGGTACTCAATGAAACGGGTGATAATGAATATTTCTACAGGGTTTTGGGACATCCTGAACAAGCAAACTAGAATCTGGAAAAATTTAAAAGACTGAGACCCCAATTTGGTTAATCATTTCAATTTTAATACTTACAACTACATATAAGACATCAAATATATGTTCGTCGAATTTCTCTGAAACGGGAAGGCCTTCCCTTCTTCTAATTGGGGCTATTAAATAGGACATGACACTGT